TATAACTAGATCCTGTTATAACATATATCTCATTTGGGGCGCTTAAAAAGAGGAAGATGTCAGTTTGAAAAAAGCCCCTGTCAGAGCCAACATGAATTCTCTCAAAATTAAAGCAAGAACAGACATCAAATTTATGGTGAAGCTTGGGTGGAAGAATGATAAAACAACTGATACTTTAAGAAAAGTTTATGGGGACAGTGCCCCCAATAAATCAGCACTTTACAAATGGAGAACTTGTTTTAAGGAGGGACAAGATGATGTTGAAGAGAGGAAGCCCACAGTGGCAGACCATCCACATCAATTTTTGAGGAAAAAATTAAACTTGTCTGTGCCCTAATTGAAAAAGACTAATGATTAACGGCAGAAATGATTGCCAAATACTACAGATATCTCATGTAGTCCAGCTTACACAATTATGACTGAAAAATTGAATGAACTTTCCACTTGATGTGTACCAAAACCATTGTGCTCACTTCAGCTGTAGACAAGAGCAGAGCTTTCACTAGGAATTTTAAACAGGAGATGAAATATTACTTCACAGTATGACCCTTCAAGCAAAGCACTATCAAAGCTCGGCTGTCAAGTGGAAGTGGTCAGTGAAAGCAAAATCAAATTGGTCAGGAGCAAAAAGATAAAGAACATTGCTAGAAATCTCTCAGTATCCTTCCAAAAACTATCCTTTCTTAAGAAGAATCATTGCACTGGCTTCTAACACTACAGGTTACATAATTGTACAACACATACTTTTTGATCATTATGTTTGGGACATTCACTCAAGTTGCTTCACATGGCTGTAGTTTGTTCATTGTCATTGCTATTTATTATTCCATTGCACAAATACTACGTATGTGTATAACCAGAGTTTATAACATAGGTGGACTTTGAGTTATTTCATTTTTCTCTTTGCTACTTAAGCCTGGGATTTCTTTTGAGCACTGCTGTGTATTAATAGGATTTAAAAAACCATTTCCTGGTCAGCAATTCTAGATGTTCTGTGTCAGTGCAGGTTTTAGGTCTCATGGGCTGCCAAATCTCCAGACACATAAGTTCTATGTCTCCTTTTTTGCTGAAATTCATACTTCTCGTCTGATTTACTTTAGCTGGTAACACATTTCTTGAGGCTGTCATGTGTATAAATGGTTTTGATTTCTGTGAACCAATAGTGACTGAACAGAAACAGGATAGAAATGAGGTGTGTAACTAATCTTGTAGCTATGATCTCTTGCCACAGTGGGATGTTGGATATGAAAGGCTAGTAAGATATTAACAGATGTATAATATTGAAAAAGCATGTTAAAGAGAGTGTCTGAAGATAGCAATAGGACGATGTGTAGATGTGGCTGTTTGGGTGTAGGTTCTCCTGGTTAGTTAACACTGGGAATATGAAGTGAGAGGGAAATTTTCTTGATGACTCAGTGGGGTCATCAATGTATTTTCAGAAATGCCACTTCATTATGGGGCTGCCCATGCTCTGTGAAAGTAATTGTCGATCAGTGTCTTCCATGGGGGGCAATTTTGCCCCCCAAGAGACATTTAGCGACACCTGGAGACATTTTTGGCTAAAAACTCTGCTCAACATCCTATAATGCCCAGGACCACTCCCTGTAATAAAAATTTATCGAAACTTAAGTGTCAATATTGCCAAGGTTCAGAAACCTATTGTTATAGCTAAGGATGCCACACAGCCTCTAAACCAAAGGTATATAATCTCAAGGTGTATTCAAATAAATACACCATCTACTACCTTTTGAGTAATAATAGCCCTGCAGGCACATAATCTTTTATGATTTTATAAAAATTTTGATGTCCTGTGATAGCCATTCATACTTGGTTTTTTTATTTTTTTTTGCAGTTTTTTTGGCCAGGGCTGGGCTTGAACCCTGAACCCGCCCCCCAGTATATGGAGCTAGCGCCCTACTCCTTGAACCACAGGCGCCACCTATACTTGGCTTTTCTTTTCAAAACTGTAAAGGTGGGTCCTGCCACTACTAAAATCCACTCAGTTTGAATAAAATTTCTCAGATCTGACATGCAAGGTAATTAGATATGCAATTTATTTATGGCCATTAAAAATAAAACAACAAAGGCCTACAATCCTAGTACTATGGTAGGCTGAGACAGGAGGATCACTTGAGCTCAGTGACCTGCCAGAGCAAAGAATGGAATCCTGTGTCTACTAAAAATAGAAAAAATTAGTTTGGTGTGGTGGTGCATGCCTGTAGTCCCAGCTACTAAGAAGGCTGAGGCAGGAGGATTGCTTGAGTCTAGGAGTTTGAGGTTGTGGTGAGCTATGATGATGCCACTGCACTCTATCAGGGCAACAGAGTAAGATCTTGTCTCAAAAAAAGAAAAAAAGGTAACAAAAACTTCCCTATGATTTATGCAATTATTTTTATTTTACTATTAAAACCACAAAGGCTCCGAGGCCATAGAGTAAATTAGCTGCAAAAATGGCATTTGGCAAAGAAAGATTTTGATGTTGAGCCTTGCAGTTAGACTACAAGTTATTCTTTTCCTCTGTTCATCTATTTTTGCAGCTTAAATTTAGGGAAAAGCTAAATTTCATTATTTCAATGGAGGTGATTATCTAAATTTGTCCCGTCTTCCTTTAGGCAGAACACGCTGCCATTTATTCTTCTGATTCATTTCCCTTAGAAAGCGGAGAAGGAGTTTTATAATGATATTATTGGTTTTGTAACTGGTGTTTCCATTGTAATGCTATTACTGAACCCGTGTTGTGATAAATGATCTGTTTATAAGGGAAATCACTTTTACAAGAAGTAGGAAATTAGACACGCTTCTGCTTTGCAATAACAATAAAAACCACAGTGAAAAAAATATTCCCCAGTTTATTCCCATCTGTATCAGCAGGGAAGCTTTAGAAGATGGCTTTCCCCCTAAAGTCTTCTAAACACGATTAGTGCCTACAAGGACCATGTCAAAATGCAGATTTCCTCCAAATCCCATTGAAGACCAATACTTCTTAAGCACACCATGACGTGGGCCCTTTAAGAAAGCCAGGAGCTTGAAACTCCACCCCTCTGCTGACTAGAAGCAGTCAGGCTGCGTTTCCTAGGCAGTTAGTTTAGTGGTGAAGCTAAGAGAGAGTTAATTTGCCCCCTGCCCTGCCTGGAAGGAATGTTCCTGTTGCAATAAGCTCTAAAAGTGGATTCCATGGGATAGGGAACAATAGAAACTTGTGAGGTATGGATGCCAGACCCGCTTTCAAGATTCTATCACTGTGCTGAATAAAGTGGAAAGAATGCTGTTAAATCTCAGTTTCCCTCTGTGGTGCTGCTCCCTGCAAGCTTTTACTCTTGCATTTCACCCATCAAGTGAGTTTTCCAGAAGCCATTTCCAACTTAAGAAGCCGATTGTCTCATATTCCAGATCCTGAAAAGGAAAAGTCAAGGAGAGAATTAAGTTTTAGTGAAAATTAAACTGGATCACTTGTAACATAATTATTTACATTGGTTATGTTTCTGAAGAGCAAAGCCAAACACCTCCCCACCCTCCAGTAGGCCAACAGTGGCTGAGTTCAGAAGACTTCTAGCACTAAACTAAAAACAATACCTAGGGGAAATGTGGAATTTAGTTGCAGTTGGCATTTCTGAGCTGTTTGTTAGAAGCAGCCATCTTGGTAAAAGATGATGTCATTTGGAACCACTGGTGTTTTAAGAGTTTATTCTCAAGCACCAGTTTCCATGAGCCATTGAGTAACAGCTTCAGTAATCAGATCAATTTAACGTTTAAAGATAACCAGGGAGTGGGAATAAGAATGACTAATGTCATCTCTATACTGTTCTTCTAACACTATAAACCTTTCAAAAAGTTCAAAGCAATAGAAATATTTTCACACTCCCCCCCCACCCCCGTTTCCATGTGTTTGTTCTTCTGTCGACTGAGCTTGGATAATAAAACTAGTATGGTCAATTTCACTTTCCAAATTTTATATATAAGTGAAAGCTGTTTGGTGTCAATAGAGTTTATTTAGAATCATCTCACCTGCTGGGGCAATTTCCTGCAAGCCCTTCTTTGAGAGAAGGGAGGGAGAATAAAAGTATTTAATTTCTTATGCTTCAAAGCAATTAGACCACTTTAATCTGTTTTATTTTTACATACTAAAGTTTTCTAGGTGAGAGCAAGGGGATATAGCAAAGGGTGATGGTTATGTTGTATTCCCGTTTAATCATGACTATTTGCATAGCATATTATGTCTGCAGTTGCTTTGGAAAATTAGCACTTAGAAATGTGTTTCAATCCTTCCACTAAAAGTGCTTCTCTTCTTTTTTGTTTAGACAAACTTTAGTGTCTTAATCCTACCCTGTGATGAGCGTTGGGAATATTTGCAAGATACAAAGAGAAAAAGGAAAAAAAAAAAGTCGCACCTTGTTTAAACAATGGAGCGCAGCAGTGTGGTTTATGAGATTATTAGAGGGTGGTGTGTCTGTCCTGCAAATTCTTTCTTAACAAGGTTAACCTGTGGCTGCTGGTGTTTCACCAACTCAGCCCTTTGCAGGGGAACTTTCTGTTTGTTCTTTTAGCTTTATCCAAACCTTCCCAGTCAAAAGCACTTTGCTCACTGAAAAGAGAAAACTGCGTGTATGAGTGAAACAGACAGAGGGAGACACGCGCACACACAGTCGGCGGAAGATGGGGCCACTCCACCGCCCAGGCTGGATGCCGGAGCCAGGCTGACCTTTCCACGTGTCTCCAGCACCTGCGAGACTGGCGGGGCTTTGGGTTTCCTTTTCCCCGGAGCGTGCGCGAGCCCGGAAGGGGTTGGGCGGCTGTGGGCTAGGTCAGGGGGCTCGGAGGCCCTCCCTCGGAACACGTGCGGCCGGCGAGCTGGTGGTGCGCAGGCAGGCCTGGCTTTCCTGCACCCGCCGTGCCCGCGCGTTCCCAGCCAGCGGTCGCCGGGCGGGTCCTCGAGCTTTCGGCCAGCTTTGCAGGGCGGCCTAGCGAGCGCGCCAGGCCCAGCTGGAGCGAGCCCCAGTGCAATACTGCCCGAGCCCGGGCGGGGTCTCTGTTCTCTGGCAGAGGAGGTCCCTTGGCAGCGGGAAGCTCCCTCTCTTTCTCTCGCCGCCGCTCCGAGTCTGCGCCCTGGTGCCAGGCGCCCAGCTCGGCGCTCCCCAGTGCTCGCCCGGCGCCCACTCATTCGCAGCCCAGCCTTCGCCGCCGCCGCCGCCGCCTCCCTGCTCCTCCTCCTTTCCCCAGCCCGCCGCGGCCATGGCGGACAGCGCCAGCGAGAGCGACACGGACGGAGCAGGGGGCAACAGCAGCAGCTCGGCCGCCATGCAGTCGTCCTGCTCGTCGACCTCGGGCGGCAGTGGTGGCGGCGGAGGAGGCGGTGGCGGTGGGAAGTCGGGGGGCATTGTCATCTCACCGTTCCGCCTGGAGGAGCTCACCAACCGCCTGGCCTCGCTGCAGCAGGAGAATAAGGTGCTGAAGATCGAGCTGGAAACCTACAAACTCAAGTGCAAGGCTCTGCAGGAGGAGAACCGAGACCTGCGCAAAGCCAGCGTGACCATCGTGAGTGCCCCCCGGGGGCGCGCGGCAGCGCCGACCTCCTCCTGTCCCCGGGAGGGGCTGCACTCGGATCCAGGCAGCCTCCAGGCTCCCCTAGACTCCCAGGGACCCGCGGCGAGTACACTCCCCGAGGAGATCTGGCAGCCTCCATGGGGGAAAGGGAGGTGTCCCTCCGGGGCCACGCGGGTCTGTCCTCCTCGGGGGCCCAGGACCCTCGCGGGTGTGGAGAAAGGCTAGCAGGGCAACCACCTTTGGTTCCTTTTGGCCTCTGGGGAGGAGGCCCCTTCAGGGTAGGGCTGGAAGCTGGTGGCGTGGTTGGGGGGCGGGGTGGGACTTATTTCAGTCTTAGCACGCCTGAAGGGTGCGTTCAGATTCTGGGGAACCCGAGTCTAGGGATGAGGTGGGAAGCCGGGGTCTGTTCCTGAGGCCTGGCTGGGAGTGCAGGGGGTGCGCAGCTGAACTGGGCACTCAGCTGGCATCAGGACGGCGCTAGCTGGATCGCCCGGGGAGGGGGCGGGAGAGAGTCGCCGGGAATCCGGGAAGTGGAGTTTTTGGCCAGGATCGAGAGGGAAGGGCGGGTACCGAAGCTAAAGCTCCCACCTCTGTAGAAAGCCCTTTTCTTTGGGATGGGAAGGTGGACGGTATATAAGGAGAGTGCAGCATCCTGGCCTGGACAGGGCAGGGGCCGAAAACAGGGGAAGGCGACTGTGACTCCCTTGCTGAGCCAGATGTTTCTGTACGTGTGTTTGCTTCATTGGTGGTGGAGTGGTTAGACTATCTTGCCTCTGAGTCCAGATACTTGACTGGAAAACAGGCCATCTGTTCTGTTTCCACCTGGCCCCTGGAGGCTCCCCAGAAAAGGGTGAGATTAGGTCTGTAGATCTCTCTCCTGGAGTAGCAGGCATTTAGAAAGGCTTATAGCTGTGATGAGGCGAAACGTAACTAGAAAAAGTACACTGTGTGCTCTCACCTAACATTTCTGCCAGCTTGCCACATCATTAACATGCAGAATCCCTGCACAGAACAACACTATTCAGATCAAAACAGTTTCTCAGCCAGGAGCAGAGAAAGAAATGTCAAGAAATCAAGGAGATGAATTGCCATAGCTGCTACACAGTAGCTAAATTAGGCTGAACCTTGAGCTGGAGGAAAAAGGGATGAATTTGGGAGTGGAGGGGTCACACCTGGGAACTGAAATGGGGCAAGTTTAGGATGCCTTCTGTGCCAGGAAAATGTGTGTATTTCCCCACTGCTGGCTACGTGAGACTAGGTGGTATTCGTAATGTAGAAAACAGGTTTCTGCCAAAGTTCAGTGTGATCAGCAACCTAAGTAGCAGCTGATTATAGAAAGACACTTCGCATGCTCAAATCCAGTCCTGGTGAATGGAATTGGAGCAAGTTTCATGTGTCTCCAAACCCATAAAGTTCTTGAAGTGTCCTTTTGGTAGGAAGGGGGAGGAATTGCAGAGGCAGCCACTTCCAAGCTTCCTATGGAGCTTTCTTGGCTGAGAGGTCTCTCTCCTGAGTGGGGGTTGAGAGGAGAGCGAAGTTGGTGGAGGCAGTTTATTTAAAGTTGGACTTAGTAAACCAAGAGGGTTAGTCTCTTGGAGCTTGTGAACCATGGAAAGTAGCAGAACTTACGTGACACAAAATCTCTAGCTTTCGTACAGTAAGCAATTCAGGCTGTTTTTGTTTGTTTGGGAGGGAGGAATGGGAGGTGGAGAAACTATGAAAGGGTTATCTGTTTGACACTTTGACCATGTTATAAGTAGGTCTGTAAATTGTACACAAGCACATTGGCTTTTGGGAACAAACATATTCATTCCTGGTGTGTAAGATTAGAGGCCTCTTGAATACTTGGCTCCAGGAGCGTATAAAGTAGTGGCTTTATTTCTTAGCACTTACCCTCAACTAAAACTGACATCCACTGGACGTACTTTCTGAAATGTTCTGTGGTCTTACTGAGTAAAGTTTAAAAATTTAGATGATAGTCCACCACTATCAGAAGCCTCTCAGTTCTTCTTTAATCTGTGAGTAATATATTCAGGGAGACAGAAATGCTTGTGGTTTGCCTGGTTCCCTAATACTTGGCAGGTGTTACTGGAGAATTGAAGGACAAACACAGAAAAGAGATTTCCTAAAACTTTTGAGGGTTTTGTTAACTGACCTAGGATTCAAATTGTGATGGGATGAGTTTGACCTCTTCGGTATGTAATGTGGGGAAGTGTGTGACTCCCTGAAATGGGTCTGGATATGAGAAGTTTATTAAACAACACTGTATGTCAAGGTTAAGCTGTCCAGTCCCTGAGAACTCTGATTTAAGCATTACCCTTGCTTAGTAGCTACCTAGGAAGTTTGTGACAGGGCTTGTGATAATTCAATTGAGTGAAGGCCTTGTTAGGTTTTTCACTATTTTAGTTAATTTGAAGGGAAGATGATACTATAGTCTTATTACTTGCCTTCCTGGCTGTTAGTAGTTCCTTTAATTATGATATTTATGTTCATGTTCCTGAGCAGTAGAGGTGATTATGCTGCCTTTGCTTTTCCTTGAACATGTTTAGGAAGGCACATTGCCTTTCAGCCACACCCTGGAGAATAGAGAGCCACCTTTTTTTTGGTTTGTTTTGAAATAGACTTTAATTTTTTTTTTTTTAGGAGTAGTTTTAGGTTCACAGTAAAACTGGGCATAAGGTACAGAGATTTGGGGTGTACACCCTGCCTTCTCATGAGCACAGCTGCTTCTACCTGTAATATCCTGCTCTTGTGTGGTGTGTTTGTTACAATCAGTGCTCCTTCATTGATACATCATTATCACACAGTCTGTAGTTTACATTAGGGTTCCTTCTCAGTCTTGTATATTCCAGACTTGGACAGGTGTATAGTGAGTGACATACAGTACCATGCGGAATAGTTTCACAGCCCTGAAAAGTCTCTGTTCTGCCTGTGTATCCCTGTCTTCTCCCTAACTCTTGGCAACCACTGATCAATTTTACTCTCTATAGTCTTACCTTTTCTAGAATGTCATATGGTTGGAATCACACAGTATGCAGCTTTTTCAGATTGGCTTTGTTCATTTAGTAATACGCATTTCTGTTTCCTCTGTATTTTTCAAAGCTAGTTCATTTCTTTTTAGTGTTGACTGATATTTCTTTGTTGGGATATATACGGTTCACCCATTGAAAGACATCTTGGTTGCTTCTAAGTTTTGGCAGTTACGAGGAAAGTGGCTGTAAATATTTGTTTGCATGTTTTTGCCTGGACAGAAGATTTTAGCTCATTTAGGTAAATACCAAGAAGCACGATTGCTGGCTTATATGTTAAAGAGTATATTCAATTTTGTAAGAAATGGCCAAACTGCCTCCGTGTTTTTACACTTCCACCAGCAATGATTGAGAGTTGCTTTTGCTCACCAACATTTAGTATTGTCAGGGTTCTGGATTTTGGCCATTCTAGTAGGTGTGATATCTTACTTTTTTGTCTCCCCCCTTCTTAAGTCAAGGCCAGAGTTCAGTCGAATCTCTTTACCAGCTATCTCCTCTGTCTCTTCTGCTATGTTCATGCTTATTCTGATCAAGCTACTCACTTAATAAAAAACTGGTTACATGGTGTGTTCTTAGCATCTGTATAATAGAGGTAAACATCATCTGTAGTCTGCGAGGGAAGAATCAACTATAAGAAGTCTGTAAGGGCTGAGTACATCTATGAGTTTTAAATTGCCCCCAGGGCATTTTATTTGGAGCTTAAAAGGTGCAATAGAATTTTTTTTTTTTTTTTGAGACAGAAAAAAAAAATGCCCGTTGCTAGAGTGCTGAGGCATCACAACTCACAGCAACCTCAAACTCCTGGGCTTAAGCGATTCTTTTGCCTCAGGCTCCCAAGTAGCTGGGACCACAAGTGCCCGCCACAACTTCTGGCTATTTTTTGGTTGTAGTTGTCATTGCTGTTTGGCAGACCGGGCTGGGTTTGAACTCGCCAGCTCTGGTGTATATGGCTGGCACCTTGATACAGGCGCCGAGCCTGGAATAGCATGTTTTGAGTGATTATCACGTTTTATTCATTAAATCAACAGTGGAATCAAGCTGCTGATTAAATAATTTATTTTTTGGAGTGGAGGAAACAAGCAATGTATGCGCAGTCACCCTTTTGAGCTTTGTATGTTAGTCCAGATCTTTCTGGCTTGTCCTGCGGGTGAGAATGTGATTGTGGGTTGTCTGAATCAGTGTAATAAGAGTTATGAAGGGGTGGTGGTCTCTGAGAAGGTGAGGAAATGCAGTTGTGGACAGTAATTGGAAGGCTTCCAAGGTCTCAACTAGTTGCCGGCATTCTCCGAGCGTATAAACCGGGCCTTGGCTGGCTCTGTGGGGTGTGTGTGCCTCTTCTAGGCAGGTTCAGATCTTTAGTTCTGTGTTTGGTTTGGAAATAAAAGCGTGTAATAAATCACTGGTATTTAAACGTCTTTTTTCTGACTATAAAATTAATCCTTCTTTATGAAAGTTTAGGGAAATACAGAAATACAAAGATATTCTGAAGTTAGAAAAACATGTTGTATGGCAAGATTAGAAAACCAGACTATTTTAAACATCAACAGCAGTGTAGTGGTTTCATTAACCAATAAAAGCTACCATATAGTTACGGTGTATTTTGGATTATTTATACTGGAAGCCTAATATGCTATTTCCCATTTTTAAGACTTCATTTTGGCAGACTCTCTGAAGCTATCAGATCAGTGTTGCCCTTGTAAAGAGGTAGAGCGGCTCCACTCTGCACCTCCCTCCTCACCTTTAGAAAAAGTATTTCTCAGATTCTTATGGAAACACCCAACTTTAGACGCAACTTTGAGGGAAGTATGACCTCACAGTTAGGTCTAACCATATACAAATCTTCTTACCGGGGTGGTTTTCATATATTTCATCTGCCTTTGAAGTTTTGCCCATCTGTAGGCACTTCTGTGTGTTTCATATAATCTGTACTTCATTAAGAAGGAGCTGAACATTTGAAGGCGG